CAGTGGCGGAAAAAATTGTCCACATGTTGAGTCTTTTTTGGCATTTTGATGAGTGCAGCGGCGTAAACATTAAGCCTTAATTTATGGTGTGCATACACGTTGAGAAGTTTAGCTAGAGCACTCATTCAAGTCGACAAACAGCAGACTAGTACCACACATGGTCCCTAAACAGCTAAGCATATCATAAGAGAACATCCGGACAATTTGTACAGAAGACAGGCAGCAAACTAGATTCTTAGAAAACTAGTACATAGTCCATCGTCCCTTTGCGCAAATCACTGCCTTGATCCTCCTCGGCATGCTGTCGATAAGATTTGCACACACCTCCACCAGTATCTTGTCCCATTCCTCCTGCACCCTCTCCCACAGCTCCAGCATTCCACCTGGCGGCTTTCCGTACTTCCCCAGCTGCCTTTTCAAGTGTGTCCACAGGTGCTCAATCGGGTTAAGGTCCGGGGAGGACGACGGCCACTCCAGCACCGCGTACTCCTGCTTTGCAAGCCAGTCTTGGACTAGACGAGACCTGTGCTTGGGATCATTGTCATGCTGGAAAATGACCTCTGAGGGGGGGAGCTTGAAAAAATCGATCGTCTGTTTGAGCTCATCTTGCAAGATGCTGCGATATAGCGGCCCATCCATCCTGCCATCTATCTTGCACATGAACCCTGCCCCCTCATACGTCATGCAACCCCACACCATCACAGAACCGCCCCCATGCTTAACTGTCTGTTGGACTTGATGGCTCCGAAGGCTGGTGCCCTCTCGAATCCAGGCGTACGCCTGTTCGTCAGAGCAGAAGCGGTTTATCTTTGTCTCGTCAGACCAAATCACCCGCTTCCAGTCCTCCAGCGTCCAGTCGGCATGCGACCTCGCGAAATCGAGACGATCTCGTATGTTTTTCGGTGAGAGCCTGGGTTTCTTGGGCTGCTGCACGGCGATCAAGCCCGCGGATCGTAACGAGTTCCTCACGGTCTTTGCGCCTACGGCCAGATCATGCTTCTCCAACAACATCTTTGCCGCGTCTACACTGCATTTCGCCTCGCCGCTTGTAATCGCTCGTATTATTCCGCGCTGGAGTCGGGTTGTGATTAAGCGGGGGCGGCCGGCCATTGGCATTGTAGGTCGCACCTCCTCGCGACTAGTCTCGGCAGCCACTTTCAGACCATAATCATGCACGGTGCTCTTGCCTATGCCAAGAACTTTGGCTATTTTCCTAGTCAAATGCCCCGCACGCAACATGCTTATGATTCGCGCGCGCTTCTTGTCATTTACCGGCTTCATGGCGATGCGGTCGTATGTTCACTTCAGGACTAACTCCTAGACTAGCAGTTGTTGCGCGTGACGATGTGCACACCGAGTGACGGGCGAAAATAGATCTAGTCTGTCGGCCGGTATGAAATGTCCGCATCGAGTGCCGAGGAGGAAATTTCAACCCCGCTTTTCGGTTGTATCACAATCGCACCAAGCAAGAAACGGTTGAAGCAGAAGTCGAAAACCTTGTAACAGGACGGGAAAAAAATGGTGTTACTATTTCCGAAACAAGTGTGCCATAGCGATATGTTTCAAAGTGCCAAACATCCGGGCAATTTTTTCCGCCACAGTACAAAAGGTACATCCGGACAAATAGTTCCATGCAGGGAGAGCAAACTTCAAGAGTGTATTTCTAGTTCCTAGCCCACCGACCATTGGCCTTGATCACCGCCCGCACCCTGCTAGGCGAGTTGTCGATGAGGTTAGATCAAACCTTGGCATGGAGCTTCTCCCCCTGTTCCTGGACCAGCTCTTAAAGCTCCAGCATTCCAAAGGAAGAGGTTGAGGTTTGATGAGAAAGAAGGCCACTCCAGGGCTACATACTCATGTTCTCCAAGTAATTCATGCACTAGGCATAACAAATTCTTGGGGTCATTGTCCGCACCGAAATGACCTCAGAGGGGAAAATGCTTTAGAAATGGAGGGTCAATTCGAGTTCGTCATGCAAAATGCCCCCATACAGGGGCCTCTCCATGCGTTTGTCAATCTTGCGTATGAACCCCACCCCCGCACATGTCATACATCCCCACACCATCACCGATCCTTGTCCTCATGGTTTACTGTCTGTTTGATTTGGTGGTGTTGCAGGGTTGTGCCTTCATGAATCCAGGCAAGCGCGCAGCCATTGGAGCTGAAGCAGTTGATGTTGGTCCCATTTGGCCATATCACATGCTTTCGAACACTAATTCTCCACTCAGCATGCGTCTCCACGAATTGCAGCCGGCCCCTGATAGTTTTCCAGAACAGTCATGGCTTCTATGCCTGCTGCACCGTGACTAGACCCACTGACCCTAGTGTGTTTTTAATGGTGCAAGAGTGCAGAGTCAATTATGCAACGTTACCCTCAGTTTTGAGGTGTGTACGCTAGATTTGGCCGCTCTATTCGTGATTTTACCATACAATGGTACGATGAAGACGATCCGTGATAAGTTGGGGCTGACCGGCTAATTGCATCTTTGGCCACACCTCAGCATGGCTAGTCTTAAAGATACCATTCAATCCAAATTCGTCCACAATACTCTTGCCTATGCCCAACATTTTCGCGATTTTCCTAGTGCTCACCCCCTTATGCTAAATGGTGGGTCCAGGAAGAGTGCAAGAAGTTCCCTGCCGAGGTTTGTACTAACCTCGTAGGTAACATGCCTAGGAGGGTGCAGGTGTGGATCAAGGCCAAAGGTCAGTGGGCTATATACCAATTACGCACTTTTGAAGTTTGCTCTCTCAGTTTGGAAATATTTGTCCGGATGTACCCTTTGTATATCTTTTGGGATATGAGTTAGATCCAATGTACTATTCTGGATATTTGTACTATGAACGCATCCACTATATGCCCCTCCCAAATCGCACCACCATTAAACATTATGGCTTAATGTATAGTGGTCTTAAAGCCTAAAAACCCAAATTTATGCAAAACATACAGACAATTGTTTCCGCCACTGTAACTGCAACAAGATTGCACGTGATAATTGCAATAAGCCTGCACGGGATAAACGCAACAAGATTGCATGTGATAACTTCAAGCAACCATGGCATTGTGAAAGCTTGCTTAGGTCCTCTTGTTAAGGCAGCGCGCTTAATTTCATCTGGTAGTGTGCTTCATTGCATCTGGGAAACATACATGTATTAAATTATATATTTGTAATATAATTGGTAGGCTTGGTAGGTGTTATTGAAACCTATTGTAGAGGGTACAACCCCCCTCCTTGTATGCCTCTCTCTTCTACTCTCACTCCCTTTTCTCTCGACAACTTTCTCCTAGCTAAACCCTCATGCCCTTCCACGTCACCAAGTTGCCCTTCCCGGGCCTGCTCCCCTCGCTTCCGCCGCGCACTCCTTCTCTCCCTCTCGCGCTGCCATGGTGGCCGCGTTGTGCTGCTGTGGCGGCGTCGTCGTGCCGCTGGCCGCGTCGTGCCGCGCCCGTCTCGACGCGCTGCCGTGGCGTCGCGCTGTCGTGGCGTCGACGTCCAGCCGTGGCGGCGCTGCCGTCGCAGCATCGACGTCCCACCGTGGCATCGATGCCGCACTGTGGAGGCGTCGTAATGATGCCGTGGCGGCGTCGTCGGGCTGCAGCCGGCCGCGCAACTCCTGTGGCGCCACTCGACTTGACGCCTGCACGCCAGCCACGGGCGTGATGCTGGACCACACCCCGCCCCCCCCCCCTTTTCCCCTGCGTCCCCACTTCCTTGCCACAGCCGTCGATTGCCTCGTGAGGGCCTTCCCCACAGCCGATGAGATTGGCCATGCCGCCGAAAGGGCGGGGGCTTCTGCAGTCGCCTCTGACATTAAAGCCGCCGCCGCGGCCGCTGTTGCCGCTGGCCAATTGCTGCCGCACGCCGCCGCCACGGCCGCTGTTGCCGCTGGCCTATTGCCGCCGCACGCCGCCGCCGCCGCCGCTCTCGTCACTGCCGCCGCTGCCGCCATTGCCATCTCCCGGGCCGTGGGTGTTGACCGATTCCGGAGTCATCGCGGCTGCTGCTGGGCATGGGAGGGCTAGGTTAGGGGGTGTGGGTGTGTGTGGGCTTGTTACTCCCAAGCCAAGGGGGTGTGTTAAATTATATATTTGTTATATAATTGGTAGGCTTGGTAGGTGTTATTGAAACCTACTGTAAAGGGTACAACCCCCCTCTTGGTATGCCTCTCTCTTCTATTCTCACTCCCTTTTCTCTCGACAACTTTCTCTTAGCTAAACCCTCACGCCATTTTCATGGCTTCCTACCGTTCCTAGCTACCTAGCTCTCGTGACAACATGGTTCTCGTCCAACAAAGAACTACACACGCAAGAGGGTGGGTGGGCGGGGAAATTGAACTAGAGAAACTAGAAATGAAGAACGTGGGTGAGGCCGAATGGCCTCATGCCCCTCTTTTGTAGGCAAAAGAGGGTGAGTAGCACTTCGACGCTGCCTTTGCTGCATTGGTCCTCGCTACACTCTCACAATACACATTTTTAGAAAGTGTTACACACTTAAAAAAAAAACATTTCATTGCCATAGACTTATTTTCGCTATTCTCACATGGAGGGCGGTATCATTATATGGCCATAACCTCTACTGATCAAATCCCATCTTCGAAGGTTCCTATCGGCACTTACACTGCTGGGTCCTTGTATTTTCACTTGTTGCCATTGTTGGATGCTTTCACTTCTGCAGCACATTCTCAGTGCGTGTCCAGCGCGAACGTTTAGAATTCACTTTATACGGTTCAATGTGGTGTAGTCCAACGTGGCGAAGCGCGAGAACCGCTCCTGAACACAATGCATTCTACTGAACCGTGATCCGTGTATAGTAAACGTATGCGCTGGACACGCCCTAGTGCTTTAAATAATGTCCTCCCATTGTTATGAGTACAAATAGAACGTATGAAATACAATTTATAAGGTTGAGTACGATGGGACACGTTACAAAACGGTTCTAGCGCTTCTCCGCTGTGGATGGAATTTGGGGGACCACAGCGGGGTTGTAGAATAGAGTGTGCATCGAGGAACGTACCACACCTAGTCGTCACGTCACGCCGCTAGTTACACCAGCCGTTCAGTAGAAGCTCTCGTTGCTGCTGCGACTACCACATCCCTGTCCGCCTGCACTCGTGATACGCGAAAGCTTCCTGTCCTGTTGATTGCCCACTGGCCCACTGACCCACTGGGCGTTGCTGCGCGCGCGCCGATAAGTGGGTGCAACTCGGCACGACGACAAACTCCCCGGTAGTCGATCCGCACGTTCCACCCGACGCGTGCGGAGCGATTCTTCAATCCCCCGCCGCTTCCGCTTGTTGCTGCCGCCTCCTCAGCTGCCCGCGCCTCTTACTTGGCGGGCCGAGCTTCGGGACTTTGAGACCCGGCTTCCGTCGGAATCCCCGGTTTCACCCACACCCAGCACCTCTTGTGAAACCCAGAAGCAGATTTTTTGTCAGAACCCTGAGCCCAGAACCTGGAAACTGTCACCGCGTGGGCCGGGCGGCATGGGCAAGAGGGACGTGCGCGCGGGCAATAGCCCGGCGGAGAGGGAGGCGAGGAGGCGGGCGGCGAGGGAGATGGCGCAGCAGCTCCCCATCGCTGCAGGTAGGGCGGTCACGCCTGCACTCCCTGACGCCCTCAACGCTCTCCACTAGCCCACCCCTCGGATACCCTTCAGTACCCTCTCATGTTTCAGTAGCACACCCTCCAACACCCTTGAATAGCTTTCAGTACCCTCCAATATTCTTCAATACCCTCCAATACCCTCCAATATTCTCTAACACCCTCCAATATCTTGCGATGCACTGCAAAAGCCTGCACCACCTTATCTCGCCTCCTGCTATCTGAGAAGGCCTTCAACCGTCACCTCTATACCGCTCGAACGATGCACACGTTCCTGCACCTCGCATGCACTAGCTTTCCTCTCGTGCTTGCTCTCACTCGCGATTCCCATGAAGCATGCACCACAGAGATTGCATGCACCACAGAGATTGCATGCACCACAGAGATTGCATGCACCACAGAGATTGCATGCACCACAGAGATTGCATGCATCAGCTAATCTTGAACTTTTAGATTTTTAGCTAACTGTCTCTTCTCAGCGTGACTATGATCCCTTAAAACGAATATGACTTCCCCCCGCCACCCGCAGTGGAGCAGCAGCTGGTGGACGAGGTGCGCGCGGCCGACACGCTTGTGGTGGTGGGCGAGACGGGCAGCGGCAAGACCACCCGTGCGTCCCTCTCACTCGTGCCCTCCTGTTCCGCTTTCCTCTCTTCCTGCCTCACCCTCTCTTTTACTCTGCTTTGCCCTCCTTCGCTTTCCTGCTCTCACCCGCTCTCCCCATCCGCTCTCCCCCTCCCTCCCCCCCCCGCCACCATCTTCTTCTCGCTCCTTCCCCTCTCTCTCCTCCGCCCCCTGCTGATGTCGCGGTGTCTCATCAACCCCACTCCTCAGCGCTACTCCCATACCTCCCCTGCACGCACATAGCCAGTGAGAGACACGAGTGCACCACACTAAACGTGTCTCTTGTATTCCCCCCTGCATTCATCCCCCCCGCTCTCCCTCCCCCTTGCCGCCATCTTCCCCCCCGGCCTCCCCCAGTTCCTGCTCTCATCTCATCCAGCGCTGTTTTCCACTGCCAGACCTCACCCGAGACTCACTGCTTCACACACAATCCTCTCCCCCCCCCCCCCTTGTTCCGCCTTCCCCAAAGCTCCCTCAATTGCCGCTGTCGTCCAGCCTCTCTCCCCCCGCCTTCTCCCCTTCCCCCAGAGCTCCTCCAGATCGTCTTCTCCTTCGGCCTGCTGGCCCTCTACCAGGCCACAAGAGTGACGCAGCCGCGGTCGGTGGCAGCGGTGACATTGGCAGCACTGAGTTAACCCAGCCCCTCTCTCCCTCTCTTGTCCCCCTCCCCCCCCCCCCCTTCTTAGAGCTCCCCCAGTTCCTGCTGTCCTCCGGCCTGCTCGCCCCCCACCAGGCCATAGCCGTCACGCAGCCTCGCCGCGTGGCAGCGGTGACGGTGGCGGCGCGCGTGGCGGAGGAGAGGGGGGTGGGCGTGGGGGGGGAGGTGGGGTACTGCGTGCGCTTTGAGGACGTGACCTCGGCCAAGACCAGGATCAAATACCTCACGGATGGCATGCTGCTCAGGTGGGTTGTGAGACGCCTCACATGCCAAAGGCGGGGTGCGTGGCAGTGGAGAGGGGGGTAGGCGTGGGGAGGCACGAGTGGGGTACTGTGTGTGCTTCGAGGATGTCACGTCCAGCAGGACGCGGGTCAAATGCGTTACTGATGGCATGCTGCTCAGGTGAAGGGGTCAGGTGGGCGCCCAGGTGAATGCTCAGGTAGACTCCCATTTGTCTCGTGGATGGTGCACGGCATGGAGCTTCCTCCATCATGCCTGTGTCACTCCCAGTGCCTTCGTCCATCTCCTCCCCCAGTACCACCCCCCCTGCTCGCTGCTGCGCCTCCTCTTCATGACACTACACATGGGACGTCGTGTGTCTCTCCCTCTCCCCGCCTCCTCCTCCCTCCCCCCCCCCTCCCCGCCCAGCCTCCCGCCTTTTTGCGCTGGGATGGCCGGTTGGGCTGGTGGTAGAGTAGCTATGGAGTAGCGGTGGCAGACGCCCTTCACTGCATGAAGACGTCCTAAGCCCCTCTCCCTGCCCTCTGGCCCCCACGGACGAGCCGTTCTGGACCCACTATGGTGGGCATCGGGCTGGGCGCATGAGCGCACCATGAACACCCCTTCTCCCCATGGGCTTTGCCCTGCTCCCACACCGACAGGAATGTTGTGCTGGACAGACACTTGTGAGCCGCTGGTGGTGGTGGATACGGCGCATGAGAACATTGTCAGTACGGGCGTGCCGTTGGGACCGCTGCAGCAACGCCATGCGCTCTCTTTCTGTTGCCCTCTTCTGACCCGCCCTTCCCCTTCCCATCCACCCAGGGAGGCCTTGTTGGTCCACTATTGAGTCGCTGCGGCGTGGTGATGGTTGATGGCCCACCAGCGCACAGTGAACGCGGACGTGCTGCTGGGGCTGCTGCAGCAGGTGCCATGCCATGCACTCTCACTCCTACCTCTGCATCATCTCCCCCTCTCCCCGTCTTCACAGGGAGGCTCTGCTAGACCCCTTGTTGAGCCGCTATGGAGTGGTTGTAGTGGACGAGGCGCACGAGCGCACGGTGAACACAGACGTGCTGCTGGGGCTGCTGCAGCAGGTGCAGGCCAGGCGAAAGGCGGCCACCAGGGGGGAGGCCGGAGCAGGGAGCGGCGGGCACGGGCGGAACGGGCACGTGGTGGGCGGTGGGAGGGAGGTGGTGGATGAGGAGGGGCGGAAGGGGAAGAAGAGACGGCGAGGAGGGCACAGGGAGGGCCAGGCGGATGGAGAGCACGAAGAGGGGAAAGGAGAGGCTGGTGCGGGCGCAGGGGGAGGCGCAGATGGAAGCAGCAGCACAGGCGAGGGCGAGCTGAAGCTGGTGGTGATGTCGGCCACCCTGGAGTCGCGCAAGTTCCTCGACTTCTTCCCCGGCGCCCGCGCCGCGTACATTCGTGGGCGGCAGCATCCCGTGGACATCTTCTACACACCCGAGCCGGAGCCCGACTTCCTGGACGCGGCTCTCGTGACGGTGCTGCAGATCCACGTGGACCACCCCGTAGGGGGCGACGATTCTGGGGAACGGGGCGACGAGGAGCACGTGGGGGAGGATAGCGGAGAGGGCAGGGGAGGTGGCAGTGCGGGCGACATTCTGGTGTTCCTCACGGGGCAGGAGGACATCGAGTCCATGGCTCGCTTGCTGCAGGAACGTGCCGCGAAGCTTCCTCCAGGGACCCCACCACTGGCCATCACGCCCATCTATGCGGCGCTGCCCGCAGAGCAGCAGATGAAAGTGTTCCGCCGTGCGCCTGCCGGGTGCAGAAAGGTGAGAGGCGGAATGCTAAGTGGAGTGAGAGGCGGAATGCTAAGTGGAGTGAGAGGCGGAATGCTAAGTGGAGTGAGAGGCGGAATGCTAAGTGGAGTGAGAGGCGGAATGCTAAGTGGAGTGAGAGGCGGAATGCTGCTAAGTGGAGTGAGAGGCACGAAGTGATATGCATGGTGTGCGTGCGGCGTCGTTAGATATTACCCGTGCTGTGAATGGTGCTCCTCGTCGTCCAACATCGCTGCTCCACCCGATGCTCTGGGAACGGTGATGAGGCGTACGGCATGCATTGTGGGTAACCGCCTATGGTGAGCTGCAATGATGACAAATTAGCATGTGTTAATTTCCAGCCGGCGTTTCCCACTGTGCTCGTCTTTCTCCTTCATTTCTCCTCCGTTCCCTGCACCCGTAACCCTGTTTTATATTCCGTTGTCCTTCAATCTTCCATGCCCCCCTCCGCCAACCCCCCGCCCCGCGCAGGTGGTTTTAGCCACCAACATAGCGGAGACGTCGGTGACCATCCCGGGCATTCGCTTCGTGGTGGACGCGGGCGTGGTGAAGGCGCGCGCCTTCAACTCCAGGACGGGCGTCGACTCGCTCGTCGTCGTGCCCGTGTCCAAGGCACAGGCCAGGCAGCGGAGGTGAGGGCACGAAGTTGAATGGTAGATGGTGGGTGAAGGGTGAGTGGCGGATAGCGGGTGGTGGATGGTGGATGGTGGATGGTGGATGGTGGATGGCATGGTGCGTATCTCTCTCACTCGTGAATCCATCCAGCCTCCGTCCGCAGCTGGTCCAACCTGCCTGCTGCCATCCACTGCATCTGCTGCCGCCATCTCCCTGCTCTCCTCACCACCTCCATAGACGCGACGAGCGGGCGCTGTTGTTAGGTCACCCCTGCGCCTCTTCCCTTGTCTCGGCTGCTCCCACTCGCACCGCACTCCTCACCTGCAGTCCTTCAGCCCTCCACCCCTCCACCCGTCCACTCCTGCCTCGATTGCTCGCTTGCCTGCCTCGGTTGGCCGCTATCCCAGTGGCCGTGCAGGCAGAGAAGCCCGCGGCAGGTGCCACCGACTGCATGCAGGGGACGCCTTCCAGTCGCTGCCATCGTCGTTGTTTATTCATCCCAATTCCACGTCCTGTGCACTCCTCTATCTCACCCTCACTCCTCTCTTACCAGCCCCCATCCCAGTGGGCGGGCCGATCGTAAGGCGCTCAGCAAGGGCTGACGCCTGAACACAGAAGACACCTTTCAGACAATGCCCGAGTCACTTATGCCTTCCCTCTGCTCCCCGCCCCAGTGGGCGTGCGGGCAGGGAGGCCCCCAGCCAGGCAGTGGTACGGGCTGTACACGAGGCCACCTTCCATTCACTGCTATCATCAGTGCCTCCCTTCCATCCGCTCTCACCACCAATGCCTTGCTCCCCTACCAGTGGCCGTGCAGGGCGCGAAGCCCCCGGCAAGTGCTACCGGCTGTACACGGAGGACACCTTCCAGGCGCTGCCCGAGTCGTCCGTGCCGGAGATGCTGCGCTGCAACCTGGCGTCCGTGGTGCTGCAGCTGGTGGCGCTGGGAGTGAAGGATCTGCTCGCCTTTCCCTTCATGGATCCTCCCCCTCAGTGAGTGTGTGAGCAGCCCCTTGTCATCACTGCCTGCGCTGCAACCTGGCATCTGTGCTGCTGCAGCGCATTGCACTCAGAGTCAAGCACCTCCTCTTCTTCCCCTTCGTGGACCCCCCACCCCAGTGAGTAGGTTATTTTTTGGTTGACCTTTTAGTCAAGTGTGCCTGCGGTGCAGCCTGGCTGTTTTGGTGCTGCACTGCATCGCACTAACAGTCAAGCACCTCCTCGCCTTCCCCTTCATGGACCTGCCGCCCCAGTAAGCGGTTCGCTTCCGTAGCTTCCTGGAAGCTTTCAGTGCCTAATATGCAACGTGGCCTGGTCATTGCCGTGCTATAGTACAGCCCAGCCACACGCTTTGCCTTTATGGCCCTCCCCTCAGTGACACACCCCGACTCCCGTCTCTCCATGCTACAGGCATGGAGCACCTTTTCCGCGCACACCTCTCACGCTCCATTTCTCACTCCCTCCCCAATGTCTCCCTTGGCCCCCATACCATCGCCCCCCTCCCCCTCAGGGCGTCCATCCTGCGTGCGCTGGAGCACCTCTTCTCCCTCGGAGCGCTCTCACCCGAGGGGCGCCTCTCACCGCAGGGAGAGCACATGGCGCGATTCCCCCTCGACCCCGTCTATGCCAAGGTGCGCTGCGGGGCAAGCAATGCTTCTTGGTTGTGCCACGGCCTGTCCAGGATGTATCCCCCTCACTAGCATGTTCGTCCTCACCGTCCGCTCTCCTCATCAGCCCATGCTGCAGGCGTACCACCTGAATCATGTGGGGGCAGCAGAGAGCACGTGCGGGCAGAAGAGAGCACGTGGGGGCAGCAGATAGCCCGTGGGGGCAGCAGAGAGCATGTGGGAGCAGCAGAGAGCACGTGGGGGCAGCAGAGAGCATGTGGGGCCAGCAGATAGCCCGTGGGGGCAGCAGAGAGCACGTGGGGCCAGCAGAGAGCACATGGGGGCAGCAGAGAGCACGTGGGGTCGGCAGATAGCACGTGCGGGCAGCAGAGAGCTCGTGGGGGCAGCAGAGAGCTCGTGGGGGCAGCAGAGAGCACTCCCATCATTCGCACCTGTTACAGTCACATCCATAGTGCCACTTCCTCTTCCTCTCCCCCTTCATCAGGCCATCGTGGAGGCATGCCACCTGGGCTCACCAGCAGTGGCGGGCGACATGCTGCCAGCCGTGGCCATGCTGTAACCCCTCTCCTCCACTCTCCCCCTCCCCCCCCCACCACCACATCCCCCCCCAGGCCATCCTGGAGGCGTACCGCCTGGGGTCGCCAGCGGTGGCGGACGACATGGTGGCGGCGGTGGCCATGCTGTCAGTGGAGTCTGCCTTCCACACGCCCTCGCACGCCGCTGCTGAGGTGATTGCACTGACGTGGCATAGGTTGTATTGATCTAACTTGCAGAAGACGCTCAGCCAGGTGAGCGTTTTGCATTTGTATGCAAAACGCAAAACGCTCTCCAAAATTCTTGGGCAGCCCGACGAAAGAGTATCGAAAATGCGCGTCAGTTCGACAAGCTCAACCTCTCACCACACCATTCCATCTAGAAAACCCAAGCACCTCTCCTCACACCCCCCTACTCACCAGAAAAAGCAGGTGGACACGCAGATCTGGCGCATTTTGTGCTCCCTCCCTCAGCTCTGCCTCGCATATTTAACGCCACCTAAGCGCTACGACCTAAACTAAGTTAGCGCGCTATAGTCTTAGCGCCAGTTGGGCGACATCAGCTATGACGAACGCATGCAATGCAGTGTTGGACTCAAGGATACGGGTATGGGAAGAGGGATGGGCCGGAGATACGTTGGTGGTGGTTGATCATTTATGGGGTTGCTGGACTGAATTGGCCCTCATGATGGGCTGAACAATGTCTTTTCTGGCTTAAACATGCCCTGAATTTGGTGCTCTGCACCCCCCCATTACCCCGAGTATTTTTTCCTGCCCTGCCCGGCCTAGCGTATTTTATGCGTTTCACCCCGCTCCCTAAGCGTTTTCCATTTAAACTCCAGCCTGAAAAACGCAAAACGTGTTTTTTGCAACACAGGTATTGATGTGACAGCATATAGGATGGCAGGTTTCAGCATGATCGCCGGCGCGCCGCTCCCTCCATGGCCGCTCCCTCCATGGCCGCTCCCTCCATGGCCGCTCCCTCCATGGCCGCTCCCTCCCTGGCCGCTCCCTCCATGGCCGCTCCCTCCATGGCCGCTCCCTCCATGGCGGCTCCCTCCTTGGCCGCTCTCTCCATGGCCTCTCCCTCACTCCCTCTGTCCCTTCTTCCCCTCTTGCCGCAAACTGTTCGCCTCCGTACAGGCTCATGCTGCCCGGAAAAGATTTTTCTGCCCGGACGGTGACCATCTCACGTTGGTGAACGTTTTGCGGGGCTGCCTGGCAGCGGGCAGTGAAAACGCTGAGGCTGCTGACTTGGCACGGGGTGGGGGCAATGAGGGGGGAAGTGCTGGAGGTCAAGATTTTGGGCAGCAGGTGAAGTCGCGGGAGGGGCGAGTGCGAGCGTGGTGTAAAGCACACTTCCTCAATGGGCGATCGCTGAAGAAGGCAACAGACGTGTACAGGTGAGACAAGGGAGGCAAGAGAGCGCATACGTCCAAGTAATCATTTGTGTGGCTTTATGGTACTTTACGCTAGAGAGTAATGTATTTCTTTGGCTGTTTACACGTGATGCTGATACAGCTTGTCCTCAGCTGTCTGCATGTCCCCACTGTGCTACTCGTGTCTGCACTGCAGGCAACTGCAGGCGTACTGCCATGGCCTCTCCCTGCCCCTCGCCTCCCGCTCGCCGCTACCACCATCATCAACACCACCAGCAACAGGCGCAGCAGTAGCAGCTGCCCGGCAGAGGGACGACTCTGTTGCGTTTCGCCGGGCGCTGACAGCCGCTTTCTTTTCCAATGCTGCCAAGAAGCAGCCTGACGGCACGTACAGGTGCGGGGGGGCGGCTTCTGGTGCACATTGAGTCCCAGAGATGGGTGGCTCGTGGGTTGGTTGCACAGGGACAGACACATGGCGGCAGGCATGCAGGTGATGGCGTGAGAGGCCTACCATGACGAGGAGAACGTCTCGGATGGCTGTGCTCTCTTGTTGGCCTATGCTGCTCTGCCCTCTGCCTCGCTTTTGACTTGCCTGCTGCCCTAACGTTCGGGCTGTGCTTTGCTCCGAATATGGTGGTGGATGTTCCGTGCTTTGGTGCTCCCTGCTGCTACCTGCAGGGCCCTAGTGAGAGGGCAGTCGATGGCCATGCGCGAGTCCTCATTGCATTTCAGTGCCCTTGCTTTCTGCCTTGTGCTCTCAGCGCGTGTTTCCCGTGCTGCTCCTTCCACGGTAGACATGAGCAACGAGGCGAGGAATTCCTCGCCTCGGAATTCGGCTATTCGAGGATTCAAACTCGGCGAAATTCCTCGCCGAGGATTCCTCGCCTCGCCTCGCTGAGGAAACGAGGATTCGGGTTTCCTCGGGTGCGGAATGTCGAGGAATTTCATTCCTAGCGAGGAATTTTTGCCTCGCGAGGAAAAATTCCTCGTGTCATTTTTTTCCAGCGCGCCTTGGAGCGCGCTGGTACAAACACCAAAAATGGGGGGTCTGCCGGGGTTTGGTCATGCACAGATTAGAAAGCATGGGCTGTGCATGGCAGAAACTGCCCTACTGGACTAGCCATATGGTTAACATTAGTGCTGCCCGGGGGTGGGGGGCGACTTTGGTAGCAAAGGTGTACAAAAACAGTCGTTCCTCTAGGTGTTTTGTACATTTCTGCCTAATTCCCAACAAAATTGCCAAAACGAGGCGAGGATTCCTCGCCTCGGGGCGAGGAATTTTCCCTCGGGGCGAGGAAAAAAATCCTCGCCCCCTAAACCCGAGGGACGAGGATTTTTTTTCCCCAAAATTCCTCGGCGAGGAATCCTCGCCTCGCCTCGTTTGGGGGGCGATGGTTGGAATTCCTCGGCGAGGAATCCTCGCCTCGCCTCGTGCTCATGTCTATTCCACGGCCCTTGCCGCCAAACACATGGTGGCCATCGATCCATCCCCGGTGCTCTTCAGTGCCTCTGTTTTACTTTGTGCTCTGCGCTTTGCTGCTCCCTGTGCTGCTCCTTGCAGGGCCCTAGCGAGCGGGCAGGTGGTGGCGATTCACCCGTCCTCGGTGCTCTTTAGTGGCTCCGCCACCACCAGCAGCACCATCGGCGGCAGCAGAGGGGGTGGCGGCAGCAACCGCAGCGAGGGCAGCAAGGGCGGGGGCGAGCAGCAGGTGGTGGCGTCGCGGGCGCACCTGCCGGACTGCATAGTGTTCAATGAGATGGTTCGCACGAACAGGCTGTATGCCCGTGACGTGACTCGCATTGATGTGCTGTGGTTGCCAGAGCTGGCACCACAGTTTTATAAGACCCATGTTTATTGAAAGGCGGTTGCTTTTATTCAATCGCATGCAGGGCCTCAGATTGGTTTTGAGGTACCCTGATTGCTCAGGGTTCCCCCCCCCATATTTAGCCTGATTTTTCAGGGCTCCCCAAAAAAAACCGCTGAGTAATCAGGGTTACTTCAGAATATCACGTAGATTTTACGAAATTGGGAGATGGGCGGAACAGAACTCGGGTGTCAAATGTAACTTAGGTCGTTACTGTAGACTATATTGGATTGTGCCTTAGAGGGTACAACACCCTAGTCTATATATCCTTGTACACACACATTCTAGTTCAATCATTCTCTTTCTGATATGGTATCATAGTAGGTTAGATCCCCCCCTAGCCCACTCACGCTTCCGCCCCTACGTTCCTAGCCAGCCACCTGGCCGTCGCGCTCGTCTCTAGCCGGCCCCCTGGTCGTCCGCGCCTGTCCCTAGCCGGGCCCCTGGCCGTCGCGCTCGTCCCTAGCCGGCCCCCTGGCCGTCGCGCCCGTCTCTAGCTAGCCCCCTGGCCGTCGCGCCCGCTCTTAGCCGGCCCCCTGACCGTCGCGATCGCTCCTAGCCGACCCCTGACCGTTCGCGCCCGCCCCTAGCTGGCCCCCTGGCTGTCGCGCTCGCCCTTAGCCGGCGCCCTAGCCGTCGCGCCCGTCCCTAGCTGGCCCCCTGGCCGTCGCGCCCACTCCTAACCGGCCCCCTGCCCGTTGCGATCGCTCCTAGCCGACCCCCTAGCCGTTCGCGCCCGCCCCTAGCCGGCCCCCTGGCCGCTCGCGCCTGTCTCTAGCCGGCCCCCTGGCCGTTCGCGCCCATCCCTAGCCGGCCCCCTGGCCGTCGAGCCTCTCCTAGCCGGCGCCCTGGCGGTTTCGCGCCCGCTCCTCGCAGGCAACCTGGCCGTTTGCGCCCGCCCCTAGCCGTCGCGGCTGCTTCTAGCCGCCGTCGCGGCCGCTTCCCGCCGTCCCTCGGCCGCCCCTAGTCGTCCCGGCCGCCCCTCGCCGTCGCGGCCGCCCCTAGCCGCCGCCGCTACCGTCTCCAGCCGCCTAACGGTCGCTCCTGCCGTCGCGGCCGCCCCTCCCCGCCGTCGCGGCTGTCCCTGGCCGCCGTCGCGGCTGTTCCTGGCCGCCGTCGCGGCTGCTCCTGGCTGCCGTCGCGGCTGTCCCTGGCCGCCGTTGCGGCTGTCCCTAGCCGCCGTCGCGGCCGTGTCTACTCGCCGCCGGCCGGCCGGCCCCTGCATTCGCGCCGTCGCCGGCCCGCCGCTGCCTCGAGTTCGGCCCGTTCTTCCCGATCAGCACCGCCCTCCGAACCCCCCCCCGGTACCGTACTGCATCGCTTTGCACCGCACAGCACTGCTTTGTACCGCACTGCACCGTATTGCACCGCACTGTACTGTACCGCACTGCACCGCTTTGTACCGCACTGCATCGCACTGCACCGCACTGTACCGCACTGTACCGCACTGCACCGCACTGTCCTACTCTACACTGCCCTCTTTTGTCACTCATGGCGGAGGTGCTTCGCTTTGACGCTGAGGGCCAGCCGATTGAGTTTGATGCGTGGCTTGCTGACCTCCGTCGCCATCTCACTGGTCAGCGGCAGGATGGCCACTCGCTGTCTGTCCATCTTGATGGTACCCTCCCCTGCCCTGACCCCCCCGCTGCACTGTCTCCTGACCCCTCGTCCGCTGAGCGTGAGTCCACTGCAGCCGCTGCCCTTGCTCGCTCTGTCTGGCTATCCCGTGACGCTGTCACACAGCTTGCTATTAGCAATGCCCTCCCCCTGTCCGAGCGACCTCGCTTCAGGTCTATCACCACTGCCCAGGCTTTCCTAGATGATGTTGTCCAGCGCTATTCCACCCCGCCTGCTGCCTCGGTCGGTCGTCTGATCCTCCCCATGCTCTTTCCTGACCTTGCGTCGTTCCCCACTGTCGCCGACCTGGCCGCTCACCTGCGCACCATAGACGAGACCTGGCGTGCTGCCTGCACCCACACACAGCTTCTAGCCCACCAGCCGCCCCTCACCTCTACTCTCTACCTGCTAGACACCCGCCTCCCTGACCGTCTTGCCACTGCCCGTGACCGCTTTCTTAGCGTCCACCCCGCAGACCTTACCCTCACTGACTTTGTTGACACTCTGTCCGCTATAGAGGCCCGCCACCGCTCTATCGCTCAGACCAGCGGTACTGTGCCGGTCCCTATCTTTCAGGGTTGTGCCCCCACTCAGTGCACCTTCTCCAACGGTTCTGCTGCTGTGGCTGAGACTGCCGCTGCCGCACAGGTTCGTCCGGGGAAGGGTCGCCGCCCCAAGGCTGGACGGGGGTGCGGATGCGGGTGTAGGTGGTGCTGGAGTTGGGTCACCTAGTGGTGGTGCTGACGCGGGGACCCTGACAGGTGCAGCCGAGCAGCCGTCTCAACAACCGCCCGAGCTCCAAGACTGGCACAATTTTCTTCGACGTAAGGTTCAGATTTTTTATTTGGACATGGATGAGATTGCTGCTGCTCTGCATGTGATGTATGCTGATGACTCTAGTGTGCTTCCGTCGTATTACCCCTTGTTGCCTAGTGTAGGTGTGCCTTCCTTCGACTCCCCTGCTGCGTCAGGCGTAGGATCCCCTGCTTTGTTTAGCCTTGGTGCTTTCGTCGCTACTTTGCCTCCGGCCGCCACTGCCGCGCTCTCCTTCACCCTCGACTCTGGCGCTTCCCGGTGCTTCTTCCGCGACTCCACCACGTTGACACCGCTTCCTGTCCCTGCCGTCGTCTCCATGGCTAACCCCTCCTCTGGCTCTATAGTCGCCCGCAGTTCCACCACCCTCCCCTGCCCGGCGGTTCCTTCGGGCTCTCTCACAGGCCTGCACATCCCCTCGTTCTCCAGGAACCTAGTTGGTGTCGGCTGCCTCCGGGACCTTGGCGTTGCCACTATGCTCCCTGGTCACGAGCGGTACGCTGTCTGTACCGAGGCCGCCTCCGGTGCCCCCCTTACCACGTTCCCCCGGGACCCGGTATCTAGAGTGTTCACACAGGACACTGTGACCCCCCCGGCTGGGACCCCCCCTCAGGTGGCTGCGTCTACCCAGGTTGCTGCTGCCTGCTCCTGTCGGTCACTCACCCACCCGACTCTCCTGTGGCACCACCGTCTAGGTCACCCTGCGCTCCCGCGTCTACGTCACATGTCAGAACACGGTCTCGTCCTAGGCCTCCCTGGGTCGTTCTCTGAGTTTCCCTCCTCCCCTGCCCCACCTTGCACGCCTTGTGTCGAGGGCCGGCTTCGCCGTGCTCCTCACTCCTCCTCGTTTCCCCCTACCGCTGCACTGCTACAGACTGTGCACATGGAGGTCTGGAGCCCCGCCCCCGTCCATGGGCCGCGTCAAGAGGGCTACTTCCAAGTGCTGTCGACGATTACACGCGCTACACCACTGTGTTCTCCCTGGAGCGGAAGGCCGACGTGCCTGGCGTTCTTATCCCGTGGCTTGTCGCTGCGCGCGTCCGTCGCGGTCTCCCTGTCCTGCGCCTCCACTCCGACCGTGGTGGCAAGTTTGCCTCTGGTGTCCTTAGTTGTTTCTGTCGTGCGGAGGGCATCACCCAGACGTTCACCTTGCCGGACTCCTCGCAGCAGAATGGGGTCGCGGAGCGACGCATCGGTTTGGTCATGGAGGTGGCTCGCACCTCCATGATCCATGCCGGTGCACCCCATTTTCAGTGGCCGTTCGCCGTTCGCTACGCCGCTCACCAGCTTAACCTGTGGCTGCACCCCCAGAAGCCTCAGGTTTCGCCAACCCTCCTCTGGTCTTGGTCACCTGGTGACGCGTCTGCGTTCCACGTCTAGGGCTGCCTTGCTCACGTTCGTGCCTCTGGCACGGACAAGCTCACTGCCTGCACCCTTTCCTGTGTCTTCCTTGGCTTCCCCCTTGACGCGTCTGACTGGCACTTCTACCACCCGCCGTCTCACAGGTTCTTTCACTCCCGTGACTTCACCTTTGACGAGTCCTTCACCTTCTTCCGCCGCTTCCCCCACCGAGGTCCCACGGTTTACCCCCCCCTGTTCCTGGTCACCCCTTCCCCGGTCGTCGCTACCCCTCCTCCTCCCCCTCCCCGTCCTGCCCCCTCTGGTGTGTCCCACGTCACCCCACTTACCTCGGTTGTACCGGTTGAGGAGTCTACCGACTCTTGTAGTCCTGCTGCGCAGTCCTCGCCGCCTGCCCCTTCTCAGGTGTCTCCTCCACCGCCTCCGCAGCCGCAGTCGCCACCGCTGTCGCAGCCATCGTTACCGCCGCTGCCGCCGCGGCAGCCGTCGTTGCGACCACCGCCGCCGCAGCCATCGCCGCAGCCGTCGCCGCAGCAGTTGGTTGCCTCTGGGGGTGCTGGAGTTGGGGTGGGTACTAGTCGTGGGTACTAGTCGTGGAACTCCTGTCGTGGCTTGTCTCGGCGGGCCTGGGGGTGGTATCGGTGCTCGAGGGGTTCTGAGCTCTGGGGGTGTTTCTTCTTGGGGTGCTGATGTGGTGTTCTCTGGAGGAAGCCGCCCGGCAGCTTGCGGTCCCGGTGTCGACGTCACACCGCCGTCAGAGCAGTCCCCACCTGTGTCCGCTCTTCGCCTGCTCGGCCTTCCGTCCCCTGACCCCGTGCCCGTGCCTCCTCCTGCTCTTGTCTCCGGCCCTGTGTTCCCTCCTCCGGACGCGTCTCCGCTCGTTTCCCCGCTCGTTCCCCTCCTGTGTCCCCTCCTCTGTCTCCTGACCCGACTCCCCCGTCTCACGTCTGGTCTCGCCGTCCCTCCTGTGCTCGACCTGTCTCCCCTGTCTCCCCTGTCTCCCCTGTCTCTCGCTCTCACCCTATGTTGCTTCGTTCCCACACGTCTCGTCCTCCCCTTCTCCCGTTGCCCCCTCTGTCCTCCCTTGTCGTTGCTCCCCCCCCCACTATCTGACTATATGCGTGCCGACCCGTCTGTTCCAGTGTCGAGCCTGGACGCCCTTGTCGCTGCTGTCGCTGACTTCACCTCTACCCGCCGCCTTGACTACACCACCACTCTGGTCTCCGACCCTGCCTGTCCTCCGTCTGTCGGGGGTGCTCCTGCCCTTGGCAGTGACGTCTTGGAGGACTGCTAGTACGAGCTTGCTTTCCTGTCCGAGGCTGCTCCCCATCTCTGTTCCATGCTTCTAGTCCCGCACGGTGACCCCGACGCTTTCGACATCCCGACCCCTCGCACTTACGCTGAGGCGGTCTTGGGACCCTGGGCCTCTCAGTGGATAGCTGCCATGGAGCAGGAGATGGCATCTTGGAGATCCACCGGCACC